TGCTATTGCTATTGTAAATTCGGATACATGCAAGCCAATTTTTTAGATCTAACTGCCATCTATAAAACATCTTGTAGAAGTTCTCAGGTTTTGGGCTTGCGTGAATTTTACATTTCTTACCCATATCTTTTCCCATGTATCCAGCGTTATTAGGTCTTCAAAATTTTGTGCCCACTTTATCATACAGTCTTTAACTAATTCTGTTTTAGAATCCATTTCTATTAAAACGTTATATAACCTTTTTATATGCATTTGGCTTTGATCCCTAATTTGTTTTAGTAGATTCTCCTCATTTTGTGTAAAGCCAATTTTCTGATCCTTTTTTCCATCTGGCCTGTAACTGTCCATACTGAAACCATGTTTGGATTTCCTTTTCCTCTTTTAGTACATTCGAGGGTTTTAGCCATAATACACCTCCGGGCTAATGCCTTCGTTCTCACGATCCCAGGGTGCCCCACATGTAAGGCGTCCATGGCTCACCTCCGAAGCTTTGGGGGAACAATGACTCCTTCTCCCCACCGCACACAGCCGTTTATGGTTGTGACAGTTCAGTTTGCTTGCTGTGGTGACTCTGGAACTCCTCCCCCAATCGCTTCTGTGGCCACCCCCTCAACACCCAGTTCAGAACTTTCCGCAATATTTTGTCTTTTTGGGTGTGTTCGGCGATGTCTCTGGCGGTTATTGGGCTGGTCGGGTGGATGTTGATCAGCAGGACTTGGCCGGTGATCCACTAGTTCTGGCAGTGGGCAGTGGCTGAGAGCTTTGGCATGGCTGATGACACTGCCGGGGTCGGTGGATGGGCTCGTGGTCGTGCGCAGTGAGGAAAATGGCCCATCTGGTCATTCTTGGGGACATGTATGGAAGGGCCAGTTGGTTGCCAGCAAGGAGTCCTAATAGGGGCTTGTGGTCAGTGACCAGCTCGAAATGTCTTCCTTATAGGTACTCGTGGAACCACTTGATTCCTGCCCCCATGGCTAAGTCTTCTTTATCAATTTGGTTGTAGTTGCGCTCAACCGGTGACAGGGTCTTCGAATAATACGCTATCGGTGCTTCCGTTCTGTCTGGTGGCTGAGGACTGCCCCAACTCCGAAAAGGGAAGCGTCACAAGTGATCCGGACTGGCAATGTGTGGCTGGATGGAATCAGGACGCTGTCGGATGAGAGGAGGCCTTTAACTGCTGTGAACACTAGGTCTTCCCTCCGCCCCAGGTCCACAGTGTCATCTTCTCCAGGAGGTTGTGGAGTTGCTCAGCAACGGTCCCAAGAAGGCTTGCAGTTCTGCCTTATTCTTCAGGGTGGGGGCGTTCTTAATGGCTTTCACCTTGCTGTCGGTCAGGTGGATGCCCAACCCATTTATTAGGCAGCCCAGGAACTCTACCTGCTTTACGCTGATTTTGCATTCATTAGGGTTTACTTTGAGTCCTTTTTCCTGGAACCTCCCCAAGGTCTCGCACACATGTTCCATCAACTGGCCTATTGAATCTCCTGATATAAAAACCATCATTGAAGTATGGCACCACCCTTGGGATCCCATGCAGTAGCCACTGCATTGGGCACTGGAAAAGTCCTGGAGCTATGCTGACACCAAACTGCAACCTGGTACATTTAAATGCCCCCCCCCGTGAGTCACTAACATATCTAAGCATTCCTCCCCCTTTTCCCCCAACTCACTATTTAAAGCTTATATCCAATTTGCTTTTACCAATACCAACATGTCTATATATCATTAAACATTGTCCATTAACATTGGTTTGTGCTTCAGTGGTGGCTTCATCTACCAGAAGCTGCTGATAGGCCTGGGCAAGGTCCAGCTTGGCAAATACCTTCCCGCTTCCTAGGGAATGCAACAGATGTTGCACCACTGGCACTGGGTATGCACTCTGCTGGAGGGTCTTGTTCAGTGTACACTTGTAATCTGCGCAGAGGCGGACGGATCCATCTGGCTTCACGGGAGTGACTATGGGGGTCTCCCACACTGTGTGTTCAGTTAGCAATAGCAATAGCAGTTAGACTTATATACCGCTTCATAGGGCTTTTAGCCCCCTCTAAGCGGTTTACAGAGTCAGCATATTGCCCCCACAATCTGGGTCCTCATTTTACCCACCTTGGGAGGATGGAAGGCTGAGTCAACCTTGAGCCAGTGAGATCTGAACCGCCGAACTGCAACTAGCAGTCAGCTGAAGTGGCTGCAGTACTGCACTCTAACCACTGCGCCACCTTGGCGCAGGCTTCCCTGGGCAATGAACCTGTCTAATTGTTCCTCGACCTTGGGCTGCAAAGCAAATGGTATCCTTCAGGGTTGAAGCCTGATGGGGATTACATGGGGGTCTAGGTTAAATGAAATGGGTTTCCCTGTATATTTACCTAGGCCCCCATTGAAGATGTCCATGAACTCTGCCAACAGCTGGTCCAGTTGGTGGGTGGTTATGCGGTGCAATCTGGTGATGTCCAGGCCCAGGGGTTTAAACCATTCTACTCCTAGCAGTTATGGTTGGTGGCTGCCAATGACTATGAGTGGCAGCTGCCCCTGGAACTCATGGAATGTTACTTTGACCTCCATTCTGCCTAGTACCTCTATCCAGTTCCTTGATAGTCATTCAGGTGGACATTTGGCGGATTCAGAAACTTTCTGCTTGCGACTGGTTCAACTTCTTGATTATTTGCCAGGATACTATTGTGAAAAATGAGCCTGTGTCCAGCTCCATTTTGCATGGTTCCCCTTCAATGGTCACGACTGCATATTTCTCCTGCTCATATGCATCTGTGTGTTCCACGATTGTGTGATGGATTTCTCTGGGATCTTGGTATTGGTCCTCTCTTTGTCTGCTCCATTGTTGGCCAGCTCTTGGGTTCCCTGGTCTTCCTGACGGGGCTATAGGCTTTGGCTGAAAGGGAATGGGTTGGGGCGCTTTGCAGACTTTGGCAATGTGGCCCTTTTTCTGGCATCAGTGGCATGTCGCATCCTGGAAATGGAAAGCCGCCTTGTGTTGAAGCCCATGCAGCCCGGGCAATGTGGCTGCCTGCTCTTCACGTCCCTGGGGTTCTGCCGCCTTTCTGGGTACACACGGTGGATGGTGTCATCTGCATCGTCCCAGTCGTCATCGTACTCTGGGGCTTTGGTTGACCAGTCGGGCTCCCGGTATATGTGGTGCACCCCAATGACCTTCCTCACATTTGCCACCAAGTTGTCTGATGATTCCGCAGCCCTCCTTGACAATGTCCTTGAATGAGACCCCTCTCTGTATCAACAGTTTCTTTTGTAAAGAGAGGTCTCTCATCCCCAAGATGATCTGGTCCTTCATCATCTCTTCAGGATTTATGAACTCACACCTGGTTGCGATCTCCTGGAGGCTGGCCACAAAATCATTGACGGTTTCTCCCTCTCATTGGCACCAGTGGTAAAACTCATTCTGGCTGACCATGGGGGGGGGATGGTGCGAAGTGGTCTTCCAGGGTGTGTTGCAGGGTGGCCCAGGCGACGGTCTCCATATCCGCTGGGACAATCAGTGTCTGTGCCATTTTGTAGATCTTGGTGCTGCAGTAGGTCAGGAATAACGCTCGCTTCCTCTTGTCCGGCCTGTCCTGGTAATCTTTGGCTTCCAGGAACATTCTGAAATGGCCCATGTACGTGTGCCCGTCTTCCGTCTGTGGGTCGAAGATTGCTGGAGCAGGCGATACTTGCGATGCCATTCCACTTGTTGCAAGATGCCACTTGTTGCAAGATAGCTGCGTGGTTCACGAGGAGGTTCTTAGGGCCCTTTTTAAAAAATAAATTATTTTTATTGTTTTAATTAGACAAAATACACAAAAAAGCATCATCCTTCATTACATCTTGTAGAAAGCGTGTCAATTGGTTGCAAATACATTTTGTGCATTTCTTTCACAGTCATTACTTATACTTCATTCATATTGAATTATACATTTTAAATCAAAAATCTTTATGTATTTTACTATCAGTGTACCACAATTATCATTTAGCTGCAATTATTTAAATGTGCTTTTTTCTGAAGTCATTTGTAGTTAAAGACACAACCACCTACTGGCATTCATTAGCAATTCCAATAAACCTCCAATAACATTACACCTTTATAACATATTCTGAAAAAGAAATCAGTTAATAACATATCTAAGCATTCCTCCCCCTTTTCCCCCAACTCACTATTTAAAGCTTATATCCAATTTGCTTTTACCAATACCAACATGTCTATATATCNTAGCAGTCAGCTGAAGTGGCCTGCAGTACTGCACCCTAACCACTGCGCCACCTGGGCAAGAATGCCCCCAGGCGGTACATACATTCAATAACATGCTTTCCTCCAAGTGCCCCTCTGCACACGGAGCCCTGGAAGAAATTTAGGATCGCCAGAGGAGAAGCCTCTTTTCTCTGCAATTATCCTGCCCTTCGAGACCTCTTGTGCTAGTTCTTCCGTTACTGCCTTTGAGGTAAACATCAAACTGAAGTAACATGGAAAGGATCTTGCATCAGAAAAGGATAAATGCACAACATTTGGGAAAGGCATGGGATGTGCTGGGTAAGCCACTGGCACTTCCACCTGATCAGAGCTCTTTGGATGCTTCTCATTCTTGTTTAGAAACAGGAAGCGGATTGATTCAGCCCACGAATGATGCACCTCCTGCTTCTGTTTCTGATGCTGGCAGCATCCCAGCCAGCCTCTGAGAAGCTTCCGATGAAGTGTCCACTGAGTTTGGAGAAGCAGGATGGGAAGAAACCATGGAGCTATTACAAGCCAGGAGACCACGTCATTAGCTTGGTCATCACTGCCACAAAGACATCGGCCACAACGTTGACCTTCAACATAGTTCCTCATAGTCAGACTCATTTGTAAGTCATTCAGTGTGAGTTGCCTCCTTTCCGTTTCCACTTCTGACGCTCATCTTCTTCTCTTTTTATTTCATTTACTCTTGAATTACCTGCTTAACATCTTGGATAACTTTGGTTTCCACGGCTCTTTTGATTTACCTTATGGAAAATACTCAAATCCAGATGGGGCAGGAAAAAAGGACCTGGGAGGAGTTGACGTTATTTTCTTATCCCTGTCCAGCCCCGACTTTGTCACTTGGATACCGATATTTGTGTGAAGTAGGGATTGGAGTGGTTGAAGTTGCCCCTCCCCAGCCCATTTCCTTAATTCTACAAATGCTCGTTGATATGCAATTATTAGTCCTTATCAGAACAGAGCACAGCTTGCTTTTCTAGAGCTTTTCTAGATCACTTAGGAAACATAGTCTTCCTTTTAGTGTGGTTTTGCTTTAATAACAATGAATTTGAATGCTGGCACTGGGTAGATGAAAATGACTATTGCTACAGATAGTGGCGTGTTTGTGATTCTCAACCCTGATGGTAGACATAAAAATAGAAAAAGTGATGGGTGACTATCATTTGCCTCTAATTTGGGATCCGTGTTGGTTTAGGACACAGTAGGCTTGTAGAGACAAAAATAATGAAATGGAAAAATAAACTATTTTGTTGTTGCTGTTCCGGATTATGATAATAACATGAATTTTCTTTTCTTACACTAGTTTACCTTTTAATGAGTTCAGAATACTACCCTTCATTTTTGCTGTTCAAGTTGTCAACAAGAATCCCCGACTCCTGCACAATCTCACAATGGGCTACAACTTCTATGACAACTGCATGAACATCCTCGGCACTTCAGAGGCCTTGCTGGACATTCTCTCCACTGGAGAAGCCAACATCCCCAACTACGGCTGTGGGAGGGAGGACAACCTTCTGGCTCTTCTTGATGGAGCTACCAGGGACATCTCCACCCAGATGTCAAACCTAGTAGGCGCATACAAAGTCCCACAGGTGTGTGTCTGCGTGTGCTAAAAAGGCTAGGGTTGTAGAAGCCAAAGAATAGATCCAACCTTATCTTCTCTACGGAACTTGAGAGTTGGAATTCTCGCTACGGCCATTGTAGCTGCCGCAGCTGTGGATTGGGATCCAGTGGGGGGGGGGGGTAGGATTTGCTGGAGAGGAGGAGGACTTGGTGCTGGGTAGGCTCGGAAGGGCTGTAGAGAGCTTTGCGGGGGGGGGGGAGGGAGCGAGGATGAAAGCAGCCACATCTTGGTATGACACCATCCAGACTGATTTGGGGGCATCTGCTGTGCATTGGTAAAGGAGAGGGGAGCCTAATGAAAAGGTCTTCCGTGACAGAAGTTGCAGCAGTGACAGGAACACCTATCCCAGCTTCACAAAGGGGAAAACGTTGCAATATGTCATGCGATGGCAACGTGACATGGCAAGTTTGACACCCGTGACTTAGAGGAAGGGCCTAAGTGAATGTACGGCTTAAATTAACAAAAATCATAGCTATCCAGCTTCCTCATCGACAACTATTAAAGCATATAAGGCCAAGATTGCCCCTCATCTCTCTTAGAGGGAACTTACATTTGGGAAACAGGTATCACTATTAAAATAAATATCTTGGGTAAAAGGACTTCAGATGCTGCTCTCAGAACTGAATTGGGAATTTATGTAATTTGTTCTCTGTCAAAAATTAGGACATATAATTATTAATGCAAAATTAAAATTAAACTGAGAGGGTCCCAAAATTTTGTCTGTTAGAACAGAAAAAAAATTCAGTTAAGGACCTTTTGGATTGTACAACTGACAAATTATATATTTGCTGTGAATTCGCTCTCTTGTACCGCTGGAGAATAAGCTGAAAAGATTTCTGCACGAAGAATGCAGGAGGTGAAGGGTCTGGCAGGTTCCTTCTGAGCTTGGTTGCCTCCTGGCAGACGCCTCCTTACCCAACCTGGTCCACCCTTGATGTCTGCCAGAAAACAGCCAGGTTCAGAGAGCACCTTCGTGTCAGAGCCTTTGTCTCAACTACCTGAGCCACAAATGTTTCTCCTTTATCGGAATCTGGGCTGTCAAAGCAGAGAAAGTTACACCCTTCGTAGGTAAACTTGGCAGATTGAAATGGATGAGCCACGCCAAATGGTCCTTCCAAAATGTCCAGTATTTGAATGCAGAGATTTATTCACGTCTTAAGGCAATATTAACAAAGCCCCTTAAAACAGACAGACTTTTATTTGTGGCGATAGAAGAGGTAACACATCTATTATTTGGATGTCAATTTTATAAGAAAAATCAGGGTCTTGGATTGCACGTTAGACAAATGGCTTTTTGTGAAATTTAAAACAACATATTTCCTGTGTGGTAAGAATTTAAATATTATATATAATTCAGCCCCTTTTTGGAACAAAACTGTTCACTTGATCTGCATATAGGGGTCTGTCTGAGGTATATTCCATAGTTGACACAGGAATACGACTTTTATTCACTTTTCTTACTTTATTTCAGTTCATTTGTTTCTTTTACTATACTTTTATATATACAGTTTTCTTAATGTTCTCTGTCTTATTCTGTACCTTGATATGACTTAACGACTAATCAAAAACCTATTCTAATATATTCATGAGAACAAAGTTGGATTTACTAAACGTGATTATTTTGACCGTCATAGGACCCTCAAGTATAACACAGCATTCTTCATTATTTATTCAGATGAGAGACAGAATCGCTTCAGAGGCTCTGAGCGATAAAAGTCAGTTCCCTTTTTTCCACCCGATGTTCCCCAAAGAAGGAATCGTGTACCCAGGAATTGTCCAAGTGCTCCTCCACTTCAGATGGACCCTGATCGGACTCTTCGCTTCAGACACAGAGAAGGGAGAGAATTTCATGAGGACTTTCACTCCTCTGCTTGTCAGGAAGGGAATCTGTGTCATCGTATCACAAAGAATCTCAAAGACCGGCCTTGCAGCCCCCGTCAGGGATGCCATCTCTAAGTGGAGACAAGTCACTGTCTTTGTTCACTTTGTAGAATATGACTCCCTTTGGGAGAGAATTCTTCCTTTCCATTCAACATTTGAATGTTTGCCAGGTCCCGTTGCAGGGAAAGTCTGGATCATGACCCTCTTGGGAACATATTCAATAAAGAAGCACAGACTTCTCAAATACGTCCATAGCATTTGGACTTTTACTTTTCAGTGGAAAAAGAGGCTAAATAATGATGGGTTTGAACCCAATCTCTTTGTGGAAGCCCAGTTTCAAAACCAGTCTTTCCACTGTTCATTTTTGAAGCACAGTGTCTTTGCTGTCAGAGGCCGGAGAAGGTGCACCCAGGAAGCCCCACTGGAGACCCTGCAGAAAGGGAACAGGATCTGGACCCCAAACTACCACTATGTCCACGCTGTGGTTAATACTCTGGCTCATGCCCTGAATTCTGCCTATTCCTCCAGATCCCGTTGGAGAAGGAAGGCCGGCCAAGGGAGGCTGGGAATGCCAAGGCTGCAGCCATGGCAGGTATGGGGGCCCTGAAAAGGGTCCTTCAGATTTTGTTCCTTTTGAGGAGGAGGAGGAGGAGGAGGAGGATGACGGGCAAACCCTCTCAACCTCCTCATTGTGCCCCAAAAAGCCAACCGGTTTGGCCAATCGAATCGCTCGGGGCATAATGTTCCAAAGACAGGCAGCATAGCAGACCTGTGTTGGCACTGAACCCTGCCAATTCTGAAAAGGATGTGCATTATTTTTTTACATACATTCCTGCATGTATGAATTTGAGATGAAAATGTTACTTCGTAAATTTAAAGGGGAGATTGAGACCATTTAGCCCAGCCCCTCCTCTCTGTAGTTCAAAGCTGTTTGGATTGAGGGAAGCTTGGCTGTTGCATTAAGCAAACCACAGAAGGGGAGACGGAACATCTCTGGTTCTCTGGCTCAGCTCCAAAACTGACCCTCGCTCCCCTCCCCTTTGACCAGAACTTCCTCTTTTGCAATGAAACTCATTTTTCAATGTCCAGCATTCTGGAACTATGCTGAACAAATTTTAAGTTTCTTTTTCTTTTCAATATTTTTTTTAATTAAAATTTTTAAAAGCTTTTACAAATATTTACCTCCCCTCCCCCACCCTCCCCACCTGAACCCATCTCCCCCCCCCATTTCCCAGAGCAAATGCAGGGTATAAATCTTTAACAATCATATTC